AATGTATATTGTAGTGGGAATCCTTTGGGCAGTGGGGGAGGCCTTGGATTGGACTAGATGCTTTCTAAGATCTTTTCAATTGCTGACATGCTGTGGTTCTCCAAATCCTGCCTTTGATACTTATAAGCTACAAGAGCTATTATCAGCTCTCTGAGGTTCAGATGCCTTTATAAAATATGGGTCATAGTGCCTGTACTACTTGCCTTATAGGGTCACTGTGAGAATTAAATGAGATAGCATATGTCAAACACCTTGGGGATCTTCAAGCACTATGCAAAAATTTTGTTATTATTATATTATAACTTAATAATTATTCTATTTTATAGTAACTTATAATAATCATTTTAAAATTATATTATAATTCAATATAATTAATATTATATTATTAATGCTCCTTAGAACATAAGCTATATTTTTATCATTTTGCTTTACTTTTTAACTTCTGTCAGGGCACATCTATTGTGTAATAATAACAGTACATTTATTATTAAGAATAGCATACTTGTTAATATAACCATCATTAAAAATACATACATTAATAACATACTTATTATTAATAATATCATCATCAACAATAATAATATATTTCCTCTCTTCAAAATGCTGTGAGGGAAGTAGTTGAGAACACTGAAACCCCAAGAGATTTTATAAAAACTGATTAAAGAAACACGTGGGGTGCTTTAGGTTAAGGTGAAACCATTTATCTAACACCTAGGGGCCACTTTCTCTGGAGACTAGAATCAGTGCTAATTGTTGAGGCAGGAAGATCAAGAAATCTGAATCTCAGATGGTAATGAAAAATTGTGTGTCTTGGAAAGCATCTGATTAACCAACAACATTGACAAGGTAGCCTGTCTCAATGACTGTGTTGTTTGTACACAGCTGTTTATCAGTTATCTCCCCCATTAGACTGTGAGCCACTTGAGGGCAGGGACTGTTTTTAGCCTTTTTTTTTTTAATTCTCAGTGCCTGTGCCTGGCACACAGCTGAATTGATTAAGAATAAAAGGATTTTTACGTTGTAAGCATGGTCCTTGACAACCGGAGGCATCAGACTGATTGGTTTTAAGTAAAGAAAAACCAAAGATATTTGCCCATCTGTAGACCAGTAATATAACTGAGGGTTAAATTTTAACCTGCACATTAAAACGGAAAGGAGCATGGAAATTTACCCTCACAAAAATCCATTACAAAAATATTGATTCAATCCAGAAACGTGTTCAGCTTTGGACCATACATAGTTCCAAAAGCAGCAGGGTATTTTTGGATCTCTTCCTAAAATTGTAATTGAAAACAGTTAAATGCTAGTGAATCACACTTCAGAATAGCCCCCACAGACTTCATGTACTCCAGTTACCACCCATAGGCGATGGGAAATGCCCACCTTCATGACATGGGGATTGCATCTGATTTCTCCTCAGTCCAGAGACATTACCTTTTTCATGGTGGGGCTGAGAAGCTTCTGATTACCACAGAATCACAGAGCTAGAAGGGAAAGAAGGAAGAAAGGAAACACATTTTTAAGCACCTATTATGCTCCAGGTACTGTTCTAAGCACTTTATAAATATTGTCTCATTTGATCCTCAAAACAACCCTGAGAGATAGGTGCTATTATATCCCCACTTGAGGAAAATGAGGCAGACAGAAGTTAAATGACTTACCCAAGGTCACATAGCTAGTAAGTGTCTGAGGTTGGCTTTGAACTCAGGTCTTCCTCATTCCACGTCCTGTGCCACAAAGATAACTAAATAAGGAATACACCAGTTTGACCCCACCCACCAGAAAATGTGAATTACCCAAGGAATGCCACACAATGATCACTGGGAGAGTTAGGATTGCAGTCTAGGTCTCCAAAGTTCCCTGTCCACTGCACCACCATATTTATCACCCTCACTCCATTTCCGAACCCACTCTGGTCATTCATTTACTCACTGTCCCTCAGGACTAATGTAGATCATACTATCTAACTTTGCCTTTGCTCTCCCTGGTAGAATGTAAGCTTCTTGAGGGCAGACACTATGTTGATTTTCATCTTTTTTTCACCAGCATCAGCACAGGGTCTTTAGCCTGCCAGGCATTTCATATACAGTTGTTTAAATGCATTTAATTTACTATTAGGATCATAGGACAAACAGAAGGGTTCTTAGAGATCCTCTAGTCCAAGGGTATCAGACTCAAATAGGAACAGATCCCTGTGGGTTCTTATTGACTTAGAAAACCATATATTAACATTATCTACATTTTATTGTATTTTTATTTTGTTAAATAGTTCCCAATTGTGTTATAATCTGGTTCAGGCTGCGCTCAGGAGAGTTGGGGGCTACACGTGGCCATGCGTCTGTCATCGCTGATGGAGTCCAATCCCTTCATTTTCAAGTAAAGAAAATTAAATGCAGAGATTTTAGGGGACCTGCTCGTTGTCACACATGTAACAAGGGCATTTATTAAGCATTTTTTAAGCACCAACTATATGTCATGCTCTGTGTTTGGTACTGGGGTTAAAGATATATATATATATATATATATATATATATATATATATATATATATATATATATATATATAAATGACCCAATCCCTGTTCCCAGTGGGTTTACATTCTATCAAGTAATTTGAATGAGGATTACAACACAGAGGTTTTCAGTGTGTGTGTGTGTTTGTGCACATTGTGTCATCAGTTCCCACAGGCTTAATTATCATTTCTATGCTGACTACTCACCGATCCATCTGTCCAGGTCCTGTCTCTCCCCTGACTCTCAGCCCAGAATCACCCAGTGCCTATTGATGCCCAGACAAGACGTCCCAGAGGAAACCTAGGCAGAACGCCTCCGAAACAGAACCCCTCCATACCCCCCAATGTCCCTCTCTTCCAAACTTCCCCATTTCTCTCAAAGGCACCGCTTGTCTCTCAGGTTCCCAACTGCAGGGCTCTACTCCATTCCTCACTCTTCTTTACCCCACACATCCAATCTGGCATCGTCTTGTCGTCTCTCTCTCCCCAGTATCTTTTGCCCCAAATCTCCTCCTTTTCCTCTTACAAACTGCAGTGGCCTCTGCCTCAGACTTACCCTCTCCTCTAATTCATTCTCCACACAGCTGCCAAAGGGATTTTCTTTAAGTGTGAATCAAGCCTTAGCTGAAGTCCCACCTGCAAGAAATCTTTCCCAATCCTCCCTGATCGTAATCATGTTCCCCCTCTAATAATTCTTGTGGCTCCCTATTACCTCTAGGAACAAATAGTCTGGTTTATTTTTAAAGCCCTCCTATTTTTCCGTCCTCCCCACATTATTCCCCTCCCCAAACACAGTCAAACTGGCCTTCTCTGTCTTACTTACAGATGGCAGGACATTTCACTTCTCTGTGGCCTTGTTCTGGCTATTCCTCACGCCTGGAGCACAATCCTTCCTCACCCCCACCTCGTAGGACCCCTCTCGTCCTGCAAGCTTAGGCATCACCTTTGACAGGAAGTCTTTCCTGAGTGCCCACCTTCTAGTGCCTCTGGCTTCCCTATACTTAACTCTTCTATTTAAATGTATTTATTTTCTTTATATTTATTCTGAATACACAGATACAGGAAAGGCAGTGTGGTATGGTAGATAGTGAGCTGGCCTCAAAGCTGGGAAGGCTCTGGGCTCAAGTCCCACTTCTGACACATCCTGGCTGTGTGACATCCGTGCTCTAGGTAGACAAGATGCTAACCTACATTAAATTTAAAAAAAACTTTTTCATCTGGTAGTGTGTATATATTTACGTGCCCATGTGTATGTGGAATAGGTATATGTACACATGAATTTATGCATATGTGCAATGTATGTATGAACACATATGTATAATCACACATGTATACAACTATGTGCTATTGCATATATGACTGACATACTGTATATATAGATACATAGCATGTTTGGTATATGTATATGCATATATATATATACACATATATACTCAGAAATATATGTGTGCATGTTTATATACAGTCAGTCAACCCACATTTATTAAATGCTTACTATGTGCTAGGCATTGTGCTAAGTGCTAAGAATACAAGTCATGGAGCTCATAGTCTAATGGGGGAGAAGATACACAAAGTACATAGAGGCTAAATTAAGAGTAGTATCAGAGGGATGGTGCTAAGGAGGGCTGGGAGTGGCTTCTTGCAGATGTCAGGGAAGCCAGGAGGTAGAGAGGCATTCTAGGCAGAAGAAAACTCCCAGACGTGGGAGATGGAGCATCTTGTGTGAGGAAAGGCAAGGGGGCCAATGGTATTGGATTAAAGTATGTGGAAAGGGAAATAATGTGAACACACATATAGATATACATATGAAGATGTGTATGTGTATAAATCTATACCCACATGTATGGGCATGCTCTATCACTAGAGATACAGCAATATCAACATGGCTCTGAACAAGGTTGGAAAACTGAAGAAATAATTTTGGCTACAGAGGTTGAAGGATGAACCACACCTTCCTCCTCTCTACCTGAGTTGGTGGAGTTGAGACACAGAATTTCAGAAAAACGGAAATACACTGTTAGCTATGGTCACTATGCTGGTTATGGTTCTTTGGTACAAGGGAAAATCCTGGGGGACATAATGAGAGATAGCTGTATAGTAGAAAACAAAAGAAATCAACAAATTGTGAGACACACACACACACAGAGAATGTTTGAATTGCACTTTTTAGTATTTTCCCACAGACTTCTCTAGATGTCTAGAAAATCATCCTAACATCACCCAGATGTATGTTTGATTCCACTAGATGCTATTCTTGACCCAACCCATTCATTGCCCAGTATCATCCAATAATCAAGTTGGGGGTTTCTGCTTCACATCACTGGAGGTTTATTAACATGGCTTAATGGAGAGAGAGTTGGACTTGAAGTCAGAAAGACCTGGGTTCAGTTCCCAATTTCAGTGTCCTGCAGTTTTACATCCCCTAGAGAAAATTCACTGTCTTAATCCCAGAAACAATGCAGTTTTTTCAAATGAAAGAGTCCATGGCACCACTGATATGATAACATTTATTTAATATCCTTTGAAATCAGCAAGAACTTGAAGAAGCTCAGCATTCAAATACAGCCACAAAAAAAGGTCTTGGGCATAAATAAGATATGCAAGGAGAAACACACGCTATTCAAAGAGCTGCTTCTCTCATACATTTGCAACCTCTTAAGAGCAAACAATTTAAAACACAGATTTGATTTACTCACAATAGAAAAACTTGGACTTTCCAAAGAAAAATATAGGACCAACACCATCACCAAATCAGCCTTCCCAGGTACTCACTGAACCTGTAGTTTGTTTGTTTGTTCTGTGAAGGTGGCCTACCTTGAAGACTATTACAGAACAAAACAAAACCCGACAAACATTGAACTCCGAAGTATGCTTCCACAAGATTCAACCAAATAATGCAGAAATAGGATCTCTACCCATGCACAGAATAAGGCAAAAAGCTAATTCATTCAGGTGAGGAATAATTAATGTAACTAGTTTCTTTTTCACAACACACACATCTTAGACTTCTTTTAAGATATGGATATACTGTATTATGCATCAGACTACGCTTTACATTTTTTTTCCTAACTCTACTCAGAAAGCCGACACTTTAATGTCAAATAGAAACTTCTTCTCCATTAGACTTATTCTGTAACAAGCACAGAAATTAATCTGGGTGTCATAATAGTGTCTACCGTGAAAAGAGCACACACTATTAGAAGCCTATGGTTCAGAGAGCTGAAAGTACATTAAAATGTAGTCTATGAACATCACAAATTCGGTTTTAAAATATTTCTTCAAACTAAAAGCTGCAGAAAATTAGTTCTTAAATATTCTACAGAAAATTCTTGAGCAGCTAACAATTTAAATTTCTTAGGATTTTTTTACTCTTAAAAATATTTAAATTAGTGTTGTATCTCATCTTTTTGAAAAATAATCCAAAAAAGATACAGTCGATTACAAATCTTTTGTTTTAATCAGTGTGACCAAGGGTTTGTCATCAGGACTGTAATCCTCATAAGCAATGGGAGTTGCATCATACATAGTAGGTCGGGATTTCTTTCCAAACCTGAAACACAAAAGGAAAATAGAATTCTGGTTAAACAAAGATTGTGTCCCATTAGGTCAACTGACTGACTGACCAATGATAAACAACTTCCTCTTTAAAAAAAAAAATGAACAGAGCTTCTAAAATATTTCAGGACCACTCAACAAGTTTTGTTCATTTTAAAACATTTTTTAATGTCTCCTATATATTGGGGCTTATGTTAGTCACTAGGGATCCAAGTACAAAGAATAAAATAATCCCTACTCACAAGGAATTTGTATTTTAATGGGGGAGACAAGTACATACACACATATACATATATATGTATGCATACACAAATACATATGCATAGTTTAAACATAAAGTTAGTAAATGCACATATATACAAATTTAATAGAAGGTGGTGTGGGAGGAGGGGCATTAGCAGTGATGGGCTAAAGAAAGGTTTCATGAAGAAGATGGCACCTGAGCTGCCTCTTAAAGAAAGAAAGAGACTCTATGAGGAGAGGTGGGGAGGAAGTGCATTCCAGGCACATAGGATGGCCAGTCCAAAGGCAAAGAGATGGGAAATGGAGAAATGGATCTTTGGGAATTAGGAGCAGGGGGAAGGCCCGTTTGGATCACAGAGGGAAAGAGAGGCAATAATCTTCAATGAAACTGGAAGGATAGATTGGAGCCAGATTCTGTGAAGCTTTAAAAAGTCAAAAAGCAGAGTTTATACTTTATCCCAGAGGCAATAGGAAGTCACTAGAACTGGTCAAGTAGGGGGATCATATGGTCAGACTGGCGTTTAAGAAAAATTGCTTTAGCAGTAGTATGTAGTATGAATTGGAGTGGTGGGAAACTTGAAGCATGATGAATTAGGAGGCTGTTGGAATAAAAGAATCTAGGCAAGAGGTAATGAGAGCCTTAACTAAGGTGGTGGCTATGTGAGTGGAAAGAAGGAAGAGAGATGCTTTAAAGGAAGAGATGGCATGATTCAGCAATCGATTGTATATGTGAGGTAAGAGAAGATGAAGAGTTCAATGTAATGTCAAGATTTGAGACTCCTTGATACATCATTTGTAAGTTAACAAAAGAACCTAAATACTGTGTATTGTGTTTAGATACATGAGAATTCTAAAAAAAAAGTATGGAGATAATAATCCTCGAACTTCACAGGGTTATAAAGAATGTACTGGGCCAAAGTCAATAAGCATTCATTAAAAGTTAACTATGTTCCAGGCACTGTGCTATAGAAGTATGGGGTAATAGTATTATTACACAAATAACAGATATTTTCTTTCATGTAGAGTTCAAAAGGAAGTGTAATCCAGTGGGGGGGGGGGCCGGGAACCCAGGGACTAGAGTAAGAGGACTTGAGTTCAAATCCTGTCTTTGAGGCTTGCTAACTGTGTGACTTTGGACAAGTCACTTTTCTTCTCTTGGCCTCAGTTTCCTCAAAAATCCCAAAAGAGGGGCTTGAACTAAGATGGCCTCTGAGGTCCCTTCTATGTCTAGATTAAGCTCTAGATAAATGGTTCTCTGTAATCACAGGTATACATTTATAAAGGACCTATCCTATGCCCATATGTATAGAATCCTAAAATTTCATACCTAGGAGAGACCTCAGAACATGCAATGTCAGACATAGAAAGAAATACCTTTCCTCTAATCTAGTCCAATGCATTCGTTTTTCAGCTGAAGAAACAGGCCTAGAAATGGTAAGCTACTGCGTCAAGCTCACACTCTCTCTTTATCTATTCATTCAAGACTCTATTCAGGTACCATACATTTTTCTGGATGCCCCTAGTTCTTTTTTTTTTCCCCGAGGCAGATGGGGTGAAGTGACTTGCCCAGGGTCACACAGCTAGTAAGTGTCAAGTGTCTGAGGCCAGATTGGAACTCAGGTCTTCCTGAATCCAGGCCCGGTGCTCTCTCTCTCTCCATTACACCATCTAGCTGCCCCCATACCCCTAGTTCTTAATGATCTTTTCCTCCTGAAGTTATTCTATATTTTCTTAAGCTATGAGTTGTATGCCCTCCCCCAACCTCAGTAGAATATACAAGCTCCTAGAGGGAACATGGACTTGTTCTGGTTTTGTCTTTGAATCCCCAGTATCAATTAACACCATGAATATAGCAGGCAATAAATAAATGTTTGCTGGACTGAATTAAGATCGACTGGGTCCAAATTCAAGCAGTTTTTGCATTCATTCTCTGGAAAACTTTCAGATGTGGTATGGCGGATTTTGAGAAAGCTCATATTGATTTCTCTTTTCTTTATTAAGCTCCATAAATATTCAGAGAAATTAGCTTATTTTCTATTCACTACACTTTCTCATTTTACATTTACTACAATGACTTAAAACCCCAATTTAAAAAATTAACTAGCCTCTCCTTTACAACCTTTAATACCAGTTGACATGTTCAAGTAACAATTATGAAAACTTTTATTTTAATATATGTTTTTAATTTTAAAAGATGTTTCCTAGATCAGGTTGTCCAGAAATGTAATGAGCTTATTCACCATGGACCAATCCTGGCTCTGTTCCTTGCCCTGTCTCTTTCTAGAGCTTTGGCATCAATCAGAGAACTTCAATTTTTGATGAAGAGAGATAGGGAAAAAGAATATCATGCTTTATAGAATCCTACAATCTCAGAATGGGAAAGGCCCTCAGAGGTCAGCCAGCTAAACCCCAACCCTGAACAACATTCCTGAAAACTATTTTCCTTTGGAAATGCTCATTGATGACATATGCCAATTCATTCCAGATGGCTTGTCTCCAGGAGGTAGAAGGCATGATGCCAGTTGGTTACCAAGCAAAATAAAGGTCTTAGGAATTAGCAAAACAGCACTGGTGTGAGCAAGCTGGGCCTATTTTTATTACATTCAAGAACATTCAACGATAATTTTTAAAGCTTTTTAAAATATGAGATACTGTCCCACTCACTGCCAGATCAGTATTATGCTAGCAGATAAGTGAATCTGACTCTATTTGGGTATAATCACCCAAACTGAGTGATAAACCAATAACCTAAGTAGCAGGGAAAAATGTTAAGTTGGACTTTATATGTTCTCTCAGCTTGAGGAATCCCAGAGAATATTTAAGATGTAAAAGGTATTTGTGGTGTTGATCAATCATTTCGTCATGTCTAGCCCCCATTTGGGGTTTCTTGTCAATGATGTTAGAGTGGTTTGCCATTTCCTTCTCCAGCTCATTTGACAGATGAGGAAACTGAGGCAAAAAAGGTAAAGTGACTTGCCCAGAGTCACACAACTAGTAAGCATCTGAGGCCAGATTTGAACTCAGAAAGATGAGTCTTCCTGACTCCAGGCCCAGCAAGCTATCTACTGTGCCACCAAGTTGCCCCATAGAAGGTATTTAAAGAGTTTTAAACCTTCACTTACTTGTATTAGTCTGTTATTCTATATTCATGATGCATACTAAGATAAACATGTACCCAAGCCTTTCTAGAATCTTGCAAAGTACCCCACACGTGGCTCATATTTAGAGAGAGGATGCTTAGTTTTATAAGGCACTTTCCTCAGAATACCCCTGTGAGATAGGTAATGTATTATTATACCCATTTTACAGCTGAGGAAAATAAAGCTTATAGAGATTAAATTTCTTCAACTGTGAAATGGTAATAATTATAGCACTTATTTCCCAGGATCATTGTGAGGATCAGATGAGATATTTGTGAAACACTTAGCATAGTGTCATTATTATTATTATTATTACTATTACTATTATTGTTATTATGTGACCTGACTGAAATCACACACATACTATATATCAGCAGGGATGTGAAACCATGTCTCCCAAGTCTACAGCCAGTGCTTATTCTTTAATACATGTTTCTTGAATAAATTCAATGAATGAATGTGCCTTTATTCAGTCCAAGGGTTCTTCACGTTTGTTGAGTCTTGGACCCCTTTCATAATCTGATAAAGCCTATGGACTCATTCTCAGAATAATGTTTTTAAATTCATAAAATATGTAGGGTCACAAAGGAAACCAATTACATTGTGAAATATGATTAGCTATTAAAAAAAATACAAGGCCTTCAGGTTAAGAACCCCGGATTTAATTGTGAACGTTTATCTGGGGAGAGCAGGGGGGTGAATTGTTGCAAATCCACCCTCCCCACTGGGGGAACAGCCCTCAAAATAGACCATGATAGCAACATGTCAATGATATCATCTCTATGGATATGAAGGATAGTGCCTCTTTATTCCTAAAGTTCAGGTCCTTTGAACCAGTGGGTCAAAGTCCAGTCAGCAAAACATCACAGTGAATTCCCTAACTTGCCCTTTAATCAAAGCCCAGGCTAAGCATTTTCTCAATATCTGTCATTCTCTATGAGACCCTAGGTAAGTCAATTTGCTTTCCTGGACCCTGGTTTCTTCATCTGGAGAAAGAGGGATTTAGAATAGATGATTTCTATGGAACTTTTTTGTTCTAAACCCTGTCATTCAATCAACCCATTTTTACCAAGGTCTTATTTCTCTCCTGATCTGTTATAAACTTTCCAAAGGAAAGAAGGAAGGGAAGGGAAGAGAGAAGAGGAGAAAAGAAAGGGAAAAGGAAAGGAAAGAATGATAGTGGAAGGGAGGAAAAGAGAAAGGAGATGAGGAGATAAAAAAGAAGGGAAAAGAGAAAAGACAGAAAAGAGAAATAAGAGACAGGGGAGGGGAGAGAAGAGAAGAGGATGAGAGAAGAAAGGAGGAGAGGAGAGAAGATAAAAGGAAAGAGAGAGGAGAGAAAAGAGGAGGAAAGAAGGAGAGAAGAGGAGAGAGGAGGGAAGGGGAGTTAAAAAGAGTAAGGGGAGGGGAAACCCTACTCATGCTATCCTGAGATACAACAGGCAAAACAAGTGGAAACTGTATTGATCGGCAGTCAGATGGCAAACGTGAGTCAAAGGGTGGTTGGTTGGTAACCTGTCTAGAGGTGATCTTCTCACTTCCTCACCCCCTCCCCAAGGCACAATGGATACTGACATCACAGTTGTCATCATGGTTGCCAAAGGCTTCCTTCAGCCCCTAGTAAATGTTGAAAAAAAAAAAAGAAAAGAAAAAGAAAGAAAAAAGACCTTTGGCTGTGATGAGTAAAACACTCTATCTTTGCTCTGTTTTGTCCAAGTGACTCACTGAACTCCCGTTCTGCCTGACTGATGAAATATTTCCATCAATTTGATCTCAATGTAACTTGAAGGTTAAAAGCTGGAGATATAATTCCTTCATTTTGGCATTTGTGTTAGACAGAGATCTAAGTCAAGAGGGTTTTATATGTTTTTGTTGGAGGAAAAAAGAAAGAGAAAATCCAAAGGCTCCCAGAACCAATGGGTTAGAGGCCCAGTCAGGGTTCACTTGCTGAAAAATACATTATACAGTTGAGGAAATTGCTAGAAGTGCAATGTTCCTCAGCTCCAGGTATTCTGGAAGATATTGTCTTAAATCCAATTGTTTCATTTTAGTCATTTGGTTCACATGAGGAGCTTGCCTTTTCATCATTCTGTTGCAAATGGTTTTGATTTTTTAAAAATCAGCCCCAGATTCCAACACTGATAAACTCTGTTTCTTCCCCTATCAACAGTATCTAAGTGAAAACAGACTTCAATGAGCTGGGAACTGTTGCAGGTTCAGCCCTCAGGAGCTCATCATAAATATACATAGATCTTTAAAGCCCATGACAACTGGCTTGGGGACTGAAAACACAGAATTCTGTCTCCTTGCTCTGGAGGCCCTAGGACACACCTTTCTTGGTGCCAACAGCAGCAGAGGCTCCCTGGCATTCTCACACTATTGCCAGAAGAGTCATTCCCACCGCCACCAGTGGGGCGTCCTAAAGGAAGGAGGGGACAATCCACTTACTCTGAGATAAACTAAGCCCCTCCAGGCCAGTGAAGCTGCTTAGCTCCTACCAAGTGTTTGTTAAACGTTCGTTGGATTCTAAGCAAAATTGGCAACAAGTATCTATATACCTTATTTCCGCATGTCTAATTTAAGAGAGAAAGGGTGTACAGCTTCATGGCTAGAAAGTTGACCTTGAGCCAGAAGACCTGAGTTCAAATTCTACCTCTAACAGATATTTTGTGGCCCTGGACAAATCCCTTCACCTCTCAATGCCTCCAGGCAGCTCTCTAAAACTATATAAGCTACAGGTGAGTCACTGACCTTCGGTGATCAAATTAGAGTTAGTTCTGCCTTCTTAAGTTCATCACATTGATGATATCACAAAGACAGACCTGCTCTCTCCTGTTGACTGCCCACAGAAAACGGGGAGATCTTAACAGTTTGTAAAGAGGGTGGCTAGGTGGCGTCATAGTGACAAGAGTATAGGGCTTGGAGTCAGGAAGACTCATCTTCCTGAGTTCAAATCTGGCCTCAGACACTTACTAGCTGTGTGACCCTGGACGAGTCACTTCACCCTGTTTGCCTCAGTTTCCTCATTCATAAAATGAGCTGGAGAAGGAAATGGCAAATTACTGCGGTATCTCTGCCAAGAAAATCCCAAATGGGGTCACGAAGAGTCAGACGTGACCAAAACAACTGAACAGCAGCAACAAATGTTACTCTCTCTAAAAACCTTGACATAATGTTCCACTTGAGATTCTTTTTATCTTGTTATGCAATTTATTAATACAGCCCCATGGGATTGTAGTTTTAGAGCTAGAAGGGAACTCAGAGGCCATCTCATCTAGTCCAACCCCCTCATTTTACAGATGAGGAAACTGAGGCCCAGAAAGTTAAGTGATTTAACTGGTAAACATCAGATAAGATTTATTGAATCCAAATCCTCTGACTTGAGAGCCAGTCCCCTGCTGCCTCCTATGACTGCCCCAAGTGAATAAAGTCACTCCCCTTCCCAACCCACCCACCTGGCATGGCGGATGGAGGCAATGGCGCTGCTGAATTCACTGTCGATGCTCCTGCAGTTGTAGAACTCCTCGTAGGCTGGCCTGGCGGAGCCCTGGTATTCGATCCGGCTGATACGGCAGATGCCCACAATGAGGATGATCAGCATGAGGACGAAGGCCACGCAGAGGGCGCCGATGATGATGTAGAGGGAGTGGCGTGGCATACTGCTCAGGCTCTCCGCCATGGGTCCGGACCTCCACTGGAGATCTGAGAATGTAAGTAAGCACACAGATTGCAGCATCTATTGGGGAGCCCAGGTAAGTTTTATCTCCTCCTCCCTCACTCTGGTACCTTCAAACTTGAGATTTTAAACATTGGGAAGGGAAAGCAATAAGCATTTACGCAGTGTCTGTGTTACAGGCACTATGCCAGGCACTTTACAAATATTATCTCATTTGATCCTCATAATAACCCTGCAAGGTAGGTCCTGTTATTATCCCCATTTTCCAGTTGAGGAAACTGAGGTAAACAAAGGTTAAAAGACTTACCCAGGGTCACACAGCTAGTAAGTGTCTGAGGCTGGATTTGTTCTCAAATCTTCCTGACTCCAAGCCTAGCACTCTATTAACTGAACCATCTAGTTGCCTTGTTCCTATGTAGATATGTTCAATATATTCCAAGAGCCAAAAACTAGGCTTTATTATTATAGCATGTACTATTTTAAAGAATAACAACCTATACCACCAGGACGTTTATGTACAAGAAAACGGTATCATTTCTACACTAGGCAGAGGTCAGGAGTTTATAAAAAGTGTAAACTATTTGGGAGCTTTGAGGTAAAGGGAATTAAAGAATTATAGCTTAAAGGGACCTCAAATGCCACGTAGTACACAACTCCTTCTTACAGGAAGGAAGACACATAGGCAGTCAACATTAGAGATAGGAGATCTGGATACCATGGACTGGGCCCAGATGAGCACCATAAACGATAATTATCTTAAACCCTAAAAACAGGGTTTAAAATGAGTTAGTACGGACAAGAGAATTGTTAGGGACCAAACACTAAACAGCACAAAAGGAGCATCACTGATGTATCAAAAATGTCCTGTTTCCTCTCACTTTCTACATATAGCTTCTCCTTTCATTTTTTCTCCTTCGGTACCTTCTTGTGATAGCATATACCAGGACTTCTGACAACTAGAAATGGACACTGGTAGTGGATGGGAATTGGCTTCTCTGTCTGCTTCCAAAATCCCCGCCATGTTGTCCACTAGCTGAGGCATCTGTGGCCTTCAACCCAACCCAGTCCAGTAGGCATCTATTAAATGCCTACTATGTGACAGACACAACGGTAGGCACTGGAGATAAAAAACCAACTGACCCTGACCTCGACGAGTTTTTAGTCTACTAGGGGGATAAAGCAGTTGGGAAAATATGTCCATTGTAGAGCTATGCCTTTGCCTCCACATCTCTTCAGAGAGCACAGAGGACTATGACACGGAAGATGATATCAATTATTCTCCACCCCCTCTGAAAATGGAAAGGAAGGTAAAAATATAAATTTCAAGAGAGGGTTTGGCTGGGTGGAGGGGAAAATGACTCAACTGAAAACACTGTGTAGAGAAATTTGATGACTGTGAGCACTCTCAGACACAGAAAGAAATTGCCAAGAGAAGTTGAAGACACTCTTTCCCTAGTGAAGTAACAGGGAAGTGATTAACTACCACCTGTCCTGAAGGACTTGGATACCATATGACCAGGAAGAAGGGAAATAAACTAGGTCTGTTCTGAGGACTGTTCCAAATTACTCTATTAGTGATTTTTAAAGAATCTTATGTGCAGTGCTGCTTCACAACGAAATATTGGTGAATGTGATGCAGCCGTCTACCTTCCAAAGCTTACACTCTAAGTGGATCAATGAAAGAAATTGACATAGCATAGACTATTATAACTTCCTAGTCCTGGAAATATGCAAATGGAACTATGTAAGAAGCTACCACTGAACAATTCCTACGGATGAGGGTGAATACAACGATTATGAGATGTTTCCAGAATGATCCACATTGCTTTTTCCCTAAATTAAGTGTCCACAAGGAATTGTTTTAAAAGATCTGGTATACATTTAGAGAAACAACTGTTATTTTCTGGCTGATGAAAGTGAAGTATGACTCACTTGATTTCTAAGTATTTCAACATTCTTTCAAGAAAAAAGTATAGGCTACAGTCCAACATTCAGCACAATCATGCTAAACTTTCCAAACAGACATAGCATGAGGGTAGCAGATACACATTTGTATTTCAGACCCATCTTTATTTGGATGAGATTGTCCATAGGAGCACCAGACAACCGTCCCTTGGATCTTCACATGATATTTCTGTAGTTCACAGAAACACTCTGCATATGTAACATTACATGTTCATGGGCATGCATACATTTGTTGAGCAGCCACATGGTATAGTGGATAGCGTCATCTGGAAAATATGGCTTTGAAATCTGCCTCTGACATTTACTAGCTCTGGAAACATGGGGAGATCTCTTCTCTGGGTTTCTACTTTCTTATCTGCAGACTGTGGATAATAATGTCTGCAGTACCTTCCTCCTATAATACTTGTGAGTCTTAGATAATATATGCAAGTGCTTTGCCAACTGCCAAATACTAAATAAACGTCACTTATTATTATTATACATGTACAACTACACTCCCCCACACGACCCCCCACATATATATAGAGGGTCTTCCCTCCAAGTTCTCTTCCTGTACCTCCTGGTGTTGTGGATATGACCCTAAATCTCCTCTGATGCTCAAGCTCTATTAAACTCAAGTCTACCAAGGTAATAAGGTTTCAGTCATAGTCCTGGTGACCAACCATGTCATTCAAGAACCAGCCTGGTTAAGTCATCAGTGGATAGAACACTGGGTCTGACATCGGGAAGACCAGCCTCAGACATTTACCAAGTGACTCTGGGCAAGTCCCTTTCCCTCCATTTATCTTCTGTAAAATGGGGATAGTAATAGCACCAACCTCCCAGAATTATTGTGAGGCTCAGACGAGATAACATTTGCATGGTGATTTATAAAGCACAGTGCCTGGCACGTAGTAGGCACTATGTAAATGGCAGCCACCAGCTGTTAGCACCAAAGGGGTAGGGGAAGAGGAACCTGATAACTATTCTAGCTGTGCCAACTCAAAAACTATGAAAGGGTTTCTGTGTCAGTGAAGAAAACCTAGACCAATGAAATCCAAGATATTTTGTAAGTATCATATAGGTACATACATATATACACACTCTCTATACACATAACCAATCAATCAACAAGCATTTATAAAGAGCCTACTATGTGATAGGTACTGAGAAGTCAAAGACTGAAGTGAAACATTCTATCCAAGGGAAACAACGTGTCCATATGTTGATATTTAGGGGGGGAAAGGTAGAAGGCAATTTGGGGGAGCAGGGAAAGAATGGTAAGTTGGCGTTTAGGGAAGGCCTCATGAAGATGATGCTTGAAATGAGCTTTGAGGGAAGTTAAGGATTCTTAGATGGATTCACAAATAGATGCACACACACACACTTACATACATACATACATACATACATACATACATACATACATACATACACATTCTATACTCATAAGACCATCCCAATTGGATATGAATTTTACTCGATCGTTTGGTACACTGCTGTCTAAGGAGACTGAGATACAGGGTCTTCCATCATCTGTCTGTATTTCTCCTAAATAGCTTATTCCAGACTGCTTTTGATATGAGGAAAACTGTCTACATTCTCTCCACAACCCCCAAAAGAAAAACTTTCTGGCCCAGTTTTTAAAGGATTGCTCCTACATTACCACTGCCTCATTCCTCTGTCAGGAAAAAATGTTGCATGAGTTGTTTTTGCTCTCAAAATCTGCTTAGTAACCTGGCTCAATTTGACTGACAGCTTAGCTAGTTAGTTTGAATAAATCCAACACTTTGTCTCAAATGGAGCAAAATTTATTTACACCAAGTGGTCATGTCTGCCATGTCACATTCCATCCATTATTCTCATAAGTCCTCAGCTTTGCGGTATCCTGGGAGATCCACTGCATGAATCATTTACTACATTGGATAAAGCCCAGGATGGGGAAAAAAAAAAAAGATGCATCGGCAGAGAGATGAACGGGATGACCTCATCAGCCCACAGTGGGCACATGGCCCAGAATACACGTATGTTTGGTGCTTAGGATATGTTTCCCATTTGTGTGACCCAGAAAGCATTTGGATGACAGGATAACACATTTGCCATTAACATACCCTCCTGTAAATGTATATGGCACTTTGTTCATCCCAAACAGCTTTCACTTAACTGTAGGCTCAGAGAATTAGGTCTTGAAAGGACTTTGGGAGCCATCTAAAGCCAACTCTCTCACTTCATGGACAAGGAAATTGGAGCCCATGAAAGTTGTGGCTTGCCCAAGGTCACACAGATAGTAACGATCAAAGGTGGAATTTTAACCCAGATTACAGGAAATAGGACTGCAGATTTAGAGCTGGAAAGGACCTCAGTCTACCTAGTATAACATGGTACCCACCAGTGAATCATATCCACACATGACATTAGGCAAGAGCACACTGATGATGGAGTGGCATGTTAAAGCCTTCAACTAGCTCTCACATGTTGCATTAGTTGAATTTTGGTTTACATTAAGTGGGATCTGGTATCATTTTATAATTTGAACTAAATCAAATTTTGCATTATTTGAATTTGGAATAATTACCTCCTATGAGTCATGTCTTCCAGACCTATCTCATAGAGTTACTACATGAGTTCAAGTGAGATAATGCACGTAAAATGTTTTGCAAACCTTAAAATGCTATATACATGTTAGCTTTATAGAAAAAATTAAAAATTTATTGTCACCTTTGAGACCTTAGCTATCAATAAGAAAATCTTGTGTTTCTCAATGCAAACAACGCCCAGTGGGCACCAGGCTGTAAAGCAGTTACAAGGACTAGTTTCCTTGAGGTGTTTTCTTTCAATAAAGCCTGACAGATGTGAGATAAACCCCAAAGCAATGGACGTGGGTGACAGTGACTCAAATTTTCAGATACCTGAGTCGTTATGGTAACTGCCCAGAATACTCTGATTTATCTCAGGACATGGACAGCATCAAATACTAAGAAGGATAGAAAATTATCTTCCCAGGTTACAGCTCATCTCTCTACGTGGACCCGAAAAAATATCTGTGGGGTGGACCAGATTACTTTTTATTATTACTGATTGG